CATCCACCTGGTCTTGTTCCCTCCAGTCCTCACCCATCATAGCCTTGTCTCCCCCCCCTCCTCCCTCCATTGTTCCCTCCCCTCCCAGTACTCCTCCCTCCCTCCCTCCCTCCCTCCCTCCCTCACCCTCCCTCCCTCCCTCCCTCCCTCCCTCCCTCCCACACATTATACAGCCAAAAATACAATAGATGGAGGGAAAAGGTAATCATGGAAAAAACACATGTGTCGACTCTTTATCAACCTCCCACGACGTGAGGGGAATAGGGAGGAGAAGGGAGAGATGGGGAGGGAGGGGAAGAGGGAGGGAGGGAGGGGGAAGAAGGAAGGAGGGAGGGAGGGAGGGAGGGGAGAGAGATGGGGGAGGGAGGGGAGAGAGATGGGGGAGGGAGGGGGAGAGAGATGGGGGAGGGAGGGGAGAGAGATCTGGGGGGGGAGGGAGGGGAAGGGAGGGAAAAGAAATGGGAAAGTGAGAGGGATGAAAAGGACAAAGAGGAACAGGATTATGCCAAAGAGCTTCAGTATAGTGAAGACATTTCCTCTTGGGGTCACAATACTCGGCGTGAAACTCACTACAAGCACCAATCACGCTACCACCGCCACCAATCACGCCGCCACCGCCACCAATCACGCTGCCACCGCCACCAATCACGCCGCCACCGCCACCAATCACGCCGCCACCGCCACCAATCACGCTGCCACCGCCACCAATCACGCCGCCACCGCCACCAATCACGCCGCCACCGCCACCAATCACGCTGCCACCGCCACCAACCACGCCGCCACCGCCACCAATCACGCCGCCACCGCCACCAATCACGCCGCCACCGCCACCAACCACGCTGCCACCGCCACCAATCACGCCGCCACCGCCACCAACCACGCTGCCACCGCCACCAATCACGCCGCCACCGCCACCAATCACGCTGACACCGCCGCCAATCACGCTGACACCGCCACCAATCACGCCGCCACCGCCACCAATCACGCCGCCACCGCCACCAATCACGCCGCCACCGCCACCAATCACGCGCCGCCACCGCCACCAATCACGCCGCCACCGCCACCAACCACGCTGCCACCGCCACCCAATCACGCCGCCACCGCCACCAACCACGCTGCCACCTACCACCACAATCACGCCGCCACCGCCACCAATCACGCTGACACCGCCGCCAATCACGCTGACCCCGCCACCAATCCGCCGCCACCGCCACCAATCACGCCGCCACCGCCACCAATCACGCCGCCACCGCCACCAATCACGCCGCCACCGCCACCAATCACGCTGACACCGCCACCAATCACGCTGACACCGCCACCAATCACGCTGACACCGCCACCAATCACGCTGACAACCGCCACCAATCACGCTGCCGCCCGCCACAAACCACGCTGCCACCACCACCAATCACGCCGCCACCGCCACCAATCACGCCGCCACCGCCACCAATCACGCTGCCACCGCCACCAATCACGCCGCCACCGCCACCAATCACGCTGCCACCGCCACCAATCACGCTGCCACCGCCACCAATCACGCCGCCACCGCCACCATTCACGCTGCCACCGCCACCAATCACGCCGCCACCGCCACCAATCACGCTGCCACCGCCACCAATCACGCCGCCACCGCCACCAATCACGCCGCCACCGCCACCAATCACGCCGCCACCGCCACCACCAATCACGCCGCCACCGCCACCAATCACGCTGCCACCGCCACCACCAATCACGCCGCCACCAACACGACACATCCCCTATATGGCCCTCAGCTCCCAATCTTGACGCACCTCCACACTTACCCCTTGTAATGGGCACAATCACCCCCCCCCCCTCTAGGGGCACCTGAACACCCCCGCACAATCACCCCTCCCCCCTTAACTCCCCACAATCGCTCCCCATCCCCCCAACCCTCCTAACATCACTACCAATCCACCCACCTCTCAATGTCCACTTCCCCAACATGGATCCTATTTTCCCCCTCCTTCCCCCTTTCTTTCTCCCTTTCTCCTCTATCTGGCTTTTCCTTCCCTTAAAATACGTCCTCTTTATCCTGTCATCTTCCTCAGTTTCATTTTCCACTGCTCTCCCCAGCGCCGCTGATATATTACCCGCCACTGGATTAAGGCTTGGCAAGCCTGGGAACTTATGGGATTGAACTCTGGAGACAGAGTCCGCCTCCAGACGGCGAGTTGACAGCCGTTTGCTGCGTCGTTTGTCAATATGGCGGACCCGGTTGCTAGGGAAGTGACGTCACGTACTATATGGCGGGCCTGGTTGCTAGGGAAGTGACGTCACGTACTAAATGGCGGGCCTGGTTGTTAGGGAAGTGACGTCACGTATTAAATGGCGGACCTGGTTGCTAGGGAAGTGACGTCACGTACTACTGAATGGCGGACCTGGTTGCTAGGGAAGTGACGTCACGTACTACTGAATGGCGGACCTGGTTGCTAGGGAAGTGACGTCACGTACTAAATGGCGGACCTGGTTGCTAGGGAAGTGACGTCACGTACTAAATGGCGGACCTGGTTGCTAGGGTAGTGACGTCACATACTAAATGGCGGACCTGCTTACTAAAGTGACGTCATGTTTTAAACGTGGACCTATAGTTCCTAGTTTAATATAGTTATATTTATATATATATATAGAGAGAGAGAGAGAGAGAGAAGAGAGAGAGAGAGAGAGAGAGAGAGAGAGAGAGAGAGAGAGAGAGAGAGAGAGAGAGAGAGAGAGAGAGAGAGAGAGAGAGAGAGCGAGAGGAGAGAGAGAGAGAGAGAGAGAGAGAGAGAGAGAGAGAGAGAGAGAGAGAGAGAGAGAGAGAGAGAGAGAGAGAGAGAGGGAGGCCCGTGACGGGGAGTTAAGGCTTATCACCAGCCTGAGGGTCCGTGACGGGGAGTTAAGGCTTATCACCAGCCTGAGGGTCCGTGACGGGGAGTTAAGGCTTATCACCAGCCTGAGGGTCCGTGACGGGGAGTTAAGGCTTATCACCAGCCTGAGGGTCCGTGACGGGGAGTTAAGGCTTATCGCCAGCCTCTAACACGCCCACAAACATTTCAGATTCTCAAAAGTAAAAACTTTTCTTTCAAGTCTTAACAAGGGCACAAAGTTTGTATTTTTTCCCTAGAAACTTTTTTCCCGGGGAAATTGACAATTTCTGGTTATCTAAAGATAGTGGCGATTGTGACACTACAATCACCGCTATCTGTTCAACCCGTCCTCTCATCTAATACGTCGTATTTTGTACGTAATGGTCCCTCCCCGAACGCACTGTGTAAAGTAGCGACTCACTAAATCCCCATTTTCTATGGATCGGTAGGTTAAGGTTAGGTTAGGTGGGTTGCTTGGGGTGGTTCGTGCGTTTGTGGTGTGGTTAGTACCTTGTATTTTGTACGTTGTGGCAAACCACGGGCTGATCTGTTGAACCTCTTCTTATGATCGGGAGGTTCGAGGGGACAGCACGCTGGACTGTGATCCTGTGGTCCTGGGTTCGATCCCGGGCGCCGGCGAGAAACAATGGGCAGAGTTTCTTTCACCCTATGCCCCTGTTACCTAGCAGTAAATAGGTACCTGGGTGTTAGTCAGCTGTCACGGGCTGCTTCTTGGGGGTGGAGGCCTGGTCGAGGACCGGGCCGCGGGGACACTAAAGCCCCGAAATCATCTCAAGATAACATCAAGATGATAGTGTTATGAAACCTCAGCGTTATATAGCCTCATGATAACGACAGTCATCTCTGACGACCTCAATCAGCATCCCAAACTGATCTTCCGGCCCGGTCCGCTCTGGTCCGGTCCGGTCCGGTCCGGTCCGGCCGTGGTCCGCGGTCCACCTTCAGTCCGGCGCCCCTGGCCCGCGGACCCCAATACCGGAACAATGAGTCCCGCGGGAAGGATTGTCTTGGATCACGGGGGATTTGTTGACTAACACAATGACCCCGGCAGCTGATTGGTCACGACACAATCACCCTGGCAGCTGATTGGTCACGACACAATCACCCTGACAGCTGATTGGTCACGACAGGTACCGCAGTCTCCTGTGATTCCGATTGGTTACAAGAGTTCCCGTCGTATCGTGAAAATACCCTGATTGGTATAGGGGATTGTGATAGGGGATTGGTATAGGGGATTGTGATAGGGGATTGGTATAGGGGATTGTGATAGTGGATTGGTATAGGGGATTGTGATAGGGGATTGGTATAGGGGATTGTGATAGGGGATTGGTATAGGGGATTGTGATAGTGGATTGGTATAGGGGATTGTGATAGGGGATTGGTATAGGGGATTGTGATAGGGGATTGGTACCGGGGATATAGGCCCATCTAATGAGGGTTGGAATATATATATATTAAACGAGTCCAGTATAATCTTTAGACATTGTGGCTGTTATTATTGGAGATTTTCCCTTTTGGCTTATTAAAGTGTACGGTGAACGGCAGGTACGGTGAACGGCAGGCACGGTGAACGGCAGGCACGGTGAACGGAAGGGACGGTGAACGACAGGCACGGTGAACGGCAGGCACGGTGAACGGAAGGGACGGTGAACGACAGGCACGGTGAACGGCAAGTACAGTGAACGGCAGGCATGGTGAACGGCAGGTACGGTGAACGGCAGGCATGGTGAACGGCAGGCACAGTGAACGGCAGGCATGGTGAACGGCAGGCATGGTGAACGGCAGGTACGGTGAACGGCAGGTACGGTGAACGGCAGGCATGGTGAACAGCAGGTACGGTGAACGGCAGGCATGGTGAACGACAGGTACGGTGAACGGCAGGCATGGTGAACGACAGGTACGGTGAACGGCAGGCATGGTGAACGGCAGGGACGGTGAACGCCAGGTATGGTGAACAGCAGGTACGGTGAACGGCAGGGACGGTGAACGGCAGGGACGGTGAACGGCAGGCATGGTGAACAGCAGGTACGGTGAACGGCAGAGACGGTGAACGGCAGGGACGGTGAACGGCAGGCACGGTGAACAGCAGGTATCGTGAACGGCAGGCATGGTGAACAGCAGGTACGGTGAACGGCAGGCATGGTGAACGGCAGGCACGGTGAACGGCAGGCATGGTGAACGGCAGGCACGGTGAACGGCAGGCACGGTGAACGGCAAGGACTGTGAACGGCAGGCACGGTGAACGGCAGGCATGGTGAACGCCAGGCACGGTGAATGGCAGGCACGGTGAACGGCAGGCATGGTGAACGACAGGTACGGTGAACGGCAGGCATGGTGAACGGCAGGGACGGTGAACGGCAGGTATGTTGAACAGCAGGTACGGTGAACGGCAGGGACGGTGAACGGCAGGGACGGTGAACGGCAGGCATGGTGAACAGCAGGTACGGTGAACGGCAGGGACGGTGAACGGCAGGCACGGTGAACAGCAGGTATCGTGAACGGCAGGCATGGTGAACAGCAGGTACGGTGAACGGCAGGCACGGTGAACGGCAGGCACGGTGAATGGCAGGCACGGTGAACGGCAGGCATGGTGAACGCCAGGCACGGTGAACGGCAGGCACGGTGAATGGCAGGCACGGTGAACGGCAGGCACGGTGAACGCCAGGCACGGTGAACGGCAGGCACGGTGAATGGCAGCACGGTGAACGGCAGGCATGGTGAACGCCAGGCACGGTGAACGGCAGGCACGGTGAATGGCAGGCACGGTGAACGCCAGGCACGGTGAACGGCAGGCACGGTGAACGCCAGGCACGGTGAACGCCAGGCACGGTGAATGGCAGGCACGGTGAACGGCAGGCACGGTGAACGGCAGGCACGGTGAACGGCAGGCACGGTGAACGGCAGGCACGGTGAACGGCAGGCACGGTGAACGGCAGGCACGGTGAACGGCAGGCACGGTGAATGGCAGGCATGGTGAACGACCCAAACTGTTACTTTGTCGTTATCAAAGACGACAACACTTGCTCCAGTGCCTCAAAGACTCCCTCAAGGAGGGAGAGAGTGGGAGGGAAGGAGAGAGGAGTGGGAGGGGGAAGAGGAGTGGGAGAGGAAGAGGAGTGGGAGGGGAAGAGGAGTGAGAGGAGAAGAGGGTTGGAGGGGGGCGGTTGTTGGGGGGGGGGGGGGAAGAGGGAAGACTTTCAGCGAGACAGTTTACTAAGTCTTCGGTAACTATTGCTGCTACAAGTCTATTTTGGCTTACCAAAGACTATAACAAGCTTACGACTTAGCCAAGGCTTACAGCGCCCCCCTTCCAACATGTACCTCTATTCCACCCACTCCTCTCCCACCCTCTCCTCTTCCACCCTCTCCTCTTCCACCCACTCCTCTCCCACCCACTCCTCTACCACCCTCTCCTCTTCCACCTACTCCTCTCCCACCCACTCCTCTCCCACCCTCTCCTCTTCCACCCTCTCCTCTCTCATCCACATTCCATAAACTCCTCGTCGAGGCTCCCGGGCGCCGGGCCGCCACCAGCAGTACACAAACACTGGTGGCGCCATTCGCCAGAAATCATCTGATGGCCAAGGAGCCAGTACCCGGATTCACGAAGCAGTTACGCAAGTACTTCGAACGTGTACATCTTTCCTCAATCTTTGAT